AAACTGTATTCCTAACATATGTGATTTTAATGCTTTATTCAAAAATGTATAGTTCTCAGAGCAAGCTATTTATCAAACAGATCTGAACAGTAGATATCCTCAATCACTTGAAGGATTAATAGCTGTATTCTTTATCAACAACTTACAAAACTGATATTTTCATAAAAGTCTACCGAACACAGAAAGAAAGATTATTATTATTAAATATTTTGCCTGTTATAATAATTTTAAAGGTTTTCTGAAACCATGGATAAAATAAAGCATAGATGATGGGGTTAAGAGAAGAATTAAAATAACCAAGCCACAGAACTGCATTATACAAATCATCCGATGTTGAGAAATCAAGGTAAGGATCTACTAAGGAGACAATAGAAAATGGAAGCCAGCATAATAAAAATGCCCCCATAACTAAGCTTAAAGTCTTTGCTGCTTTGCTTTCAACCTTCAGAGATGCCTTGTTGGTGTTTGGACCCGGGTAATTTGGGCGACTGTGTAGCATCCTTGCCTGTTTTTGTGCTATAGAAAATATATGGATATAGACTCCTATCATCATGGTACCTGGAACAAAAAAACAAAATAATGAAGAAACTGTTGCCCAAAGCTTATTCAGTATAAGAAAACAAGACCCAATGCAGGTGCGTGACTCCACAAAATGATTTAATCCTTCCATGTGCACATTTGATACAATAAGACTAACTGAATATAAAAAAGGAACCGACCAGCTAACAAATAAATAAACTTCTATCATACGGTTTGTCATCTTTGAATAATAATGAAGCGGTTGACACACAGCATAGTAACGATCAACAGAAATAAAAACTAGATGAAGTATGGAAGTCGTACAGAAAGTCATGTCTAAGCAACTGTGTAGTTTACAGAATAAGTCTCCAAAATACCAGCAAGATGTCGCTGATCGGACCATACTATAAGGCATTATTACCAGTCCAAGAAGAAAATCTGTTATTGCCAAGGATAGAATTAAAAAGTTAGTTGGACTGTGAAGCTGTTTAAAATGAGAAACTGAAATGATCACCATTAGATTTCCCACAATGGTGATTGTTATAATCACAGACATGATAATGCACATAGCTGAAAATCTTGACAAGCTTATGTTGGTCCTGCGACAAGAGTTGTACAAGTCAAAACAATTCATTGGATTCTGCAGATTCCAGGAAACAGACAAGTTCATAACTCTTTAACAAAGAATTTCCAATTCAGTCACTGAAAGGAGACACTATTAAAAAAATGGTGTAATAAATTTAATTAAACATATTTAAATATTAGTAAAGTCATATGAAGAGTTTTTTTTAATTTTAAGAAAGCCTTATATCGTGTGACTAGGCTCCATATTGCTAGTCAATTACTTATATCTAAAGCAAATCTGAAATGTTCCCATTTCATATTTTGTTAAGAAAATATTTATTTTATGTAACCACTGTTTACTTAATGTCTGTACACTACAAAATATATACAGAATATTTATTACATATGCGGGATATTAGTATTCTCAATGCATTTCCTGGTTTTATATATATTTTTCTTTAACACTGATGTTATTATAAATGATAAATGTTCAATATAAAAAGTTTTACTTCTGTAGTAGTCACTTTTAATAATTCCAAAATTGCTATGGTCATGCAATAACATTTTGCAGATTTTTTTTATTTTATTTTTTTAATATAACATATATTTAATATTTTTTTATGTTAGAAGCTGTTTCCTTTTAAAGTAATCCTGTTACCATTAAACAGGTTTAAATCGTTCCGTTCATATTCTTTTTTACAAGCTCACTACAACTCACTGCTAGATGCATGTATCTCTAAATAAATGCTATAATAGTTTGTTTAATTTTATAAAATTGTTTCTTGCTAGACAATTAATTGTGATTAATGTTGTGGACAAAAAATATTAACCCAATTCATGTTAGTAAAATGCCTATTTACTCAGCATAACTACAATCAGCATTATTTAACTTTCTATGTGATTTATCTAAAATGACCACTAGGGAGTTTCCTTCTTGACATCGACTTACACCCTCATTAACAAGATGGTGCTGGAATCTGGGGGAGACCACCAAGATACCAGTGACATCACACCCGGTAGGAAGAGCACTAAATGAACCACTTAACACCTAACCAATTATTGATGTATTATTTCATGTTATCTCTGACAATGCTTATGATGTAAGTTTATGCCGTCCCCTCAGCATAAACATTCCTCAAGGTTTTCATTAACCCGAAACTTGTGTCTGGTGTGAATTACTTTAGGAGCATGCACGCATTACTTCTTTAATTTGGCCTGGGGCAGATACGCAAGAATCAATTTATTGATTGATTTCCACATCAATTAACAATAGTTGAGATAAAATATTTTGAGCAAAACTTAAGTAGGAAACATTTTCCTTCTCATGTCATTTATGCATTTGAGTATATCAAATTTGAATTGTTAAATAAATGGAATATAAACATTATTAAAGAGCAAAAATAAAATGTAATCATTCATTATACAGATGTATTCTCTAAATGCCTAGTTTTAACAAATTAAATCAGGATGGCAAAATAGTGTAAATCTGAGTATGGGAAAATTAAACTCCATTAGTAAAGAAACACATTCAAATATGGGCTGGAAATGATATATTGTGCAAGCTAATAATCTGCTTGTTTAAGTAATTCTGAGTATTCACTCACCAATCAAAAAGTGTTATTAGAATATTTCCTCAAACAACAATAGAAGTAATACATGTACCATTTCTAAATAAAGTTTGCACACAGAACGAAGAAAAATCCCCATTTTCTTTTTATAGATAGATATTTAGCTGTAATTTTCAATTCAGATTTAGATTTGTTTAGCGAACAAACCATATGGTAATTAAAAATGGGATTGGTAAGAAGTAGTGCCAGCATTTCTTAAAATGTTATATAATAATAATGGTTTGCATATGGAGAATAAAATAAGAAAACACTTACCTGATTTCAGAATTTGTTGATTCACCGATTTTACTGTTTTGTTATGAGATTTCTCAAACCATCCAATATAGGTTAATGCAGCTCAAGCATCTACCTATATAGTAATGGGAATGTTGTATCCCTTTGGAAAATGTTCATTATTTTATACACAAAAATGTCCCCAGAAGATTGTAAGTTACCTCCAGGGAAAATACTTATAGCATATTCAGACATTACAATAATTATGTTTGCATAAGTGTGTAGTGCAGGTGTTTATTAGAGTCTTGATAAAATTAATGTTTTAGCAAACTCAAAATGCAATAGGTTGTATTTACTAAACACTGACTTGTAATAGAGACAGACAATTTTGCATATATATGATTACAAAGCTAGTTCTGGAAACTATTTAAAAAAAATTAAAAAAACTCAATACAAACATATACTGGTATGAAAATCCCTTAAAAAAAAAAAAAGAGATCTAAAAATTCTTCAATATATCTAAGTACCAAGGAGATAATTGGGGAATGAAAATGCCCTTGTGAATTTGGAAATTACACTTTATCGTACAGAAATAGATTGTTCATGGTATAGCACCGGCCAATATCATGTTGCATACAGGAGCTGTAAATACACTTTTTATTGTTGTATCACTAAGCTTACCTGGCTTTTGGGAAATTGTAAGAAAAGGGTGGCGTATTGGAAGTTACCATGTATTCTTTACATTGTTGTCAGAATACACCTTCATAGAGGATAAAAGAGCTTTTCTAAAGGAACTGTGTAACGTTTTGTTTGTTTCTTATATGAGAGGGATACAATCCATAGCAGTGATTGTAGGGGTTAAAAAAAAAAAAATCAGAATATTAACTGTTCTAAAAAGTTGTGCCCTACCCAAAGAAGAGACAGGAAAGGATACCATAGAGTTGGGTAGTTATAGATATTGGTTAGACATGGGGGAGTGAGTGGCATTCATGAAATATATCTAGGAGTTTAAGTAATATTTTATGGATGAGGTAGTCCAAAGGAATGGGAGTGATTATGTGTTTGGGTTTAGGACGTATGTCCAGATTTAGAGATGATGATTTGGATATTTTTATAGAACATTACGAAATTATTATTATAGTTGTGCTAAAGTTGAGAGTTGTGTGGTCTGTTTATTATCAAATAATAGGTTATTTGAAAGAATTTTATGAGTTTTAGTTCCTACCTGGATATTGAAAATGTGATAAGCATTTCCAGTGTGCACCATAGATTTTGAAGGGCATATATTAGGTAGTCACAGAATGCTGCAGGATACACCTTTGTATACCATAAAAACAAATTTGATAGTTAAGATGGTCTGATAAGTTTAGGAAGATGTAGGTTAATTTACAGAAGCAAGGGGAAGTGTACTTGATGAGCTCCAACACTAATGTTTTTAGGGCTTTTATAAGGAACTAGCTATATGTCATAATAAAAGGACTTCTGGTAAATCTGTCATTTTTTTTTGGATCTTTGCATATTTTGAAAAGCATAGGTCAGATGTGGGTCCGGTGGCCATGGGGTACATGGAGGTGAGTTTTACTTACCTTAGGATCTCCCTCGCCGCTGCAACCATGTCTCAAGACCTTAATAATTTCCTGGAGCCCATGCTGCTCCCCTCTTTGGCCACGCAAGCGAATGCCTCACGCGCCTGCATTGCACCTCTCCTCAGGCCTGAACAAGGAATACTTACCATATGGCCTGGCGAACAGCACCTTTTGCTAGTTCATACCTGCCGAAATCCTGTTAGCTGCATTAAATCAGAGGCTGCTCGTTTCATTGGCGCATCTTTTATAAGACATCATGCTCGCCCTTAAAGTGACCATGTCATCCCGGTGACCCCATTATCAATTATTTTGGATCTGCAGGGATGACATCCACCAATCAGAAACATTGTTAGCCTATATAATGCTAATTTGGGCCGTTATTACTTGTCCTATCATGGTTTCTGATTAGTGATGTCCCGAACGGTTCGCTGCAAACGGTTCGCCGCGGACTCATCATTGAATAAACTTTGACCCTGTACCTCACAGTCAGCAGACACATTCCAGCCAATCAGCAGCAGACCCTCCCTCCCAGACCCTCCCACCTCCTGGACAGCATCCATTTTACATTCATGTTGAAGCTGCATTCTTAGTGAGCTGTCAAGAAGGTGGGAGGGTCTGGGAGGGAGGGTCTGCTGCTGATTGGCTGGAATGTGTCTGCTGACTGTGAGGTACAGGGTCAAAGATTACTCAATGATGAGTCCGCGGCGAACCGTTCGGGACATCACTATTTCTGATACATGTAGCATGCTCATAGTAAGTCTCTCTTGTTATATTTTCATATTTACCTCAGCTTGTTTCTGACTTTGTGTATTTCTGGTATGCTGGCGTGTTATTCCATTTATCTGTATTTCTATATCTCTGACCTTTGCTATTCCTACTTTGTTTTATGATATCTTTGAATTATGTTGGAATTTCGATGAAATTCCACTGCAGTCTTAATTAGTATTTCACAAAGATTATAACTTTATGAAATACTGAAAAGTGAGAGGTAATAGTTAGTAAAATATTTACACACTTATTAACCACTTTACTATCTAAATCAAGTATAAACATTTTTATTTTCATGTGTTTTGCAGAATGAAATGTAGCCCATAAAACCTTACTCAACCTCATTTATACTGCAGTTATGATTACAAGAAGGAATAGATCGATTATCTGTTTGGCTGATTATTAGAGACGATATTTTGTATATTTCTTATAATCTGTATATGTCTTCTAATTTACAGATATTACTGATAACTTACTCACCTCTCCCAGTCCCCGCTCGCCATATTCTACATCGAAAACATGAGGCAAGAAATTGAGACCTCCTATCACCCCTCCCTGTGAGTCCCCACATGTAGGGCTCAGGTGAAGGCAGGAAGATGAGAATAGTGAATAATATACTGTAATGTACTTAGCTGGCTGACTAAAAGTGATAGGAGTTTGTCATAACCACACTTACCTGGAGGTCCCTCACCGCGTCTCCGTCCACGGCTGTTCCCTCTTGGTTCACGCCGAGTACTCCAGTGTGCCCAGCTGCAGGAAGAGGCAGCCGGCATTCCCTGAGGCACATGGACGTGGTGCCGCGGATCACGACCCGCGGGAAGCTCCAGCCGAACCCACATGTAAACTCCACATACTCTTGGCACACCCGAAATCCAGCCTTTTAATGGAACAGAACACTTGAAATTGTTTAAAGGGACTAATCACTTTTCAGCCAATAGAATGTGAGAGGTGGATACCTCTCCCCTATATAATCTCAGACTACTCTTACCTCAGTGCTCAGTAACACTCATCTCTTCGGTGTATACACTTCTGTGAATCCTGTCTTCATCTGACCCTTGACCCATCAACCTGTTATACATTCCTTAACCTGTGCTGCCTGCCCCTGACCTTGGCTTATCTTGATAATGCGATTGTCTTATCCCTATTCGGTACCTCGCTTTATGGCTAACTACTTCCTCGTAGGCACCACCTATCAAAAAACCTTAACAGAGTTTGATTGTTATCAACAATCACACTCATATCAGTAACACACAGATCCCAGCATGTATTGCTGCATACGAATTATATGAGTGTGGTTGGTGTCAAAACCGTGTAGAAATTGTGTTGCTTTTTCAAAACTTTAAATTATGTGTACATTCTGCTGCAATTTTTTATAAGCTGTACTATTAATAAATCCTTTCAGGGTTCTCAGAAATACCTATAAGCAAGCTATTTGGCCATTTTTTTTTCATCTACAGTTTGTAAAAAAATATATATATTTTTGCTTTTATACTAACATTTCAGAAATATTGCAAGATAGAGGACATTGTATAGTGGCTATAGTGTTTAATTTCCTAAATATTTTATGAAGGCTAAATAAATAAGTGAAAAAACAAACTAACTTTTAACTATGAAAGGCATATATGTTTCAGATGGAATTAGAGGTATGCGTCGTTTAAGGATGGTATCCACAGTCACTCCATCTACTGCATGGGCCTGTTTAATGATTCTTTGCAGAAGAATATATGTCAGCTTTGGCCTAATAATGCAAAGTCACTGTTATTGAACATTTTGTAGAGACAGACCATGTACACATATAACATGTATAAATATGGGATGACATCCACAGTATTTTTATCTGCACTACAAATGTAGCAGGCAGGCATGTATTCATATCCTAACCCCTTAAGGACTGAGCCAAATGTACATGTTTTTATCAAAATAAAACTTGAAATTTGACTATATGTCTGTTCAACCGTAATTCACCTCTTTCATATTAAGTGCGCCAACGCATTTTATTCAGAGGAAACCGGGCTTTCATTTAACATCAAATATTTAGCTATGAAATATAATTTAATATGAACAAAATATAAAAAAATGTGAGAAATTAAGAAATGTTGTTATTTTTTTAGTTCTGCATGACATTTTAGCTGTGAATGTCATAACATTGTTTGCTTTTATAAAACTGCAATAAAACACACATATTTGTATTCAGCAATGTCTCACGTGTAAAACAGCACTCCCCATGTGCAGATTTTAGGGTATTTTGGGAAGTCACAGGGTCAAATATAGCATGTAACATTTTTCATTTTTTTCACATTGAAATTCGCCAGATTGGTTACGTTGCCCTTGAGACCGTATGGTAGCCCCGGAATGAGAATTACCCCCATAATAGCATACCATTTGCAATAGTAGACAACCCAAGGTATTGCAAATTGGGTATGTCCAGTCTTTTTTAGTAGCCACTTAGTCACAAACACTGTCCAAAGTTAGCATTAATAATTGTTTGAAAGTAAAAAAAATGCAAAAAAACTAATTTGAATGCCAATTTTGGCCAGCGCTTGTGACTAAATGGCTACTAAAAAAGACTGGACATACCCCATTTGCAATACCATGTATAACGGAGCTCCCTGTACCCCGGCTGGGTACCTCCGCCAAGGACCATTTCCTAGCTGGAACAGGGGACAAACCGCAACACTTCTGCCCACAGTCGCCGTGGCTTGACTGGGGTCTTGGATCCGCTCCCTCCTGGAGCCGAATGGGGAATTCACTCTAGACACCTCCAGGCACTGGACGACACTCAGTCCTGGGAGCTCTAGTCCTCACAAGGACTTTCCCCGCTGAATCCTCCACGCTGGAACAGTGATTAGCCCTTTCCCCTCCCAGTAACCAGATGACACATAGTTCTGGGAGTACAAGCTGGAATACGTTTATTGGCAGCCACAACTGGCGTTATATGCAGGTCCCCATGCAAGGGGCAATCCCCCCTGGTCCTGAGAGCAGACTACACTAAAAACATACACACGATTACATTGGTTCTCAGGTCCAGGACACTCCCATACAAAACAAGATAATCCCTCCCATGTGCCTGGGAGATATTTGAGTCAAGCACTGTATTAAACTCAATTATCTCCAGGTACAAAAAACACACATTTCTTAAACACCCCAAAAGTACCTTAAAAAAATACATAAAACCCCCATATCTGGGTGACCAACATATCCATGAATCACCCAGATCGGTTCAGGGGTTCAGAAATTTCCTGGAAGTTATAATTTGACCAACCGCCTGCATGGTCCCATGTCCAAAACAGTTCCATAGAATCAGGGCTTGCGGTCGGTCTAGTTCAGTAGTTTAAAAACTGAACAAACTACCAAACAGAGTCAATGTTCTTACCCTGGAGCTTGCTTCTCTTGTTCGTGGGAACGTTTCCACTGAACAGTGTCTTTCTAAGTGTTGTAGAACCAAACACATGCGATCATGGAAGTCCAGCAGTGTTCGAGAGTTTTAGTATCCGAAAATAGTTCCATGAACTCGACGACCACCACTACCTGTGTTCATGCAAACAAGATGACCGCCACCTCGTGGTCGTCCATAGGAACACTTAGAACACTGCGGTGGAAATTGCTACAAAGTATCCATTAGGCTTAACAAGTTCCAGGGTGGTCTCTGGTTCATGGGGCTGTTCGTTCCCGAACCACATAGTCCAAATACACGAATGGAGACTTTTATATTACATTTCACAGAGTCCATAGTCTGTGGGCAGGAGGCTGGCAAGCAGGCTCCTCCACGAGCTCCTGGCAAACTCACTTGGAAAGGGGCGTTTGTCACACCTTGGGTTGTCTACTTTTGCAAATGGTATGCCATCATGGGGGTAATTCTCATTCCTGAGCTACCATACAGTCTCAAAGGCAATGTAACCAATCTGGCGAATTTCAATGTGAAAATCTGAAACACAAGCCTTATATTTGAATCTGTAACTTTTCAAAACACCAAAAAACCTGTACATGAGGGGTACTGTTATACACAGGAGACTTCGCTGAACACAAATATTAGTGTTTCAAAACCGCAAAACGTATCACAACAATTATATCGTCAGTGTAAGTGCACTTTGTGTGTGAAAAATGCAAAAAAAAAAAAATCACTTTCACTTATGATATCATCGTTGTAATACGTTTTACGGTTTTAAAACACTAATATTTATGTTCAGCTAATTCTCTCGAGTAAAACAGTACCCCCCATGTACAGGTTTTATGGTGTCTTGGAAAGTTACAGGGTTAAATATAATGCTAGCAAACTAAATTCTCTGGACTTTCTGCCTGGGTTATCAGGCAAGTCACACAAATTGTAATTCAGAAAATGACTTAATTATGTAAAAATATTACATAAATATGTACGTAGAATATGTGTATATATATGTATATTTTTAAATATTTTTATATTATATATACAATATTTTTGTATATATATATATATATATATACACACACATATATATATATATATATATATATATATAGTGATATATACATATATATATATATCTATGTGTATAGATATATATTATTTAGTTCTAAGTGTATTTTGATATATATATATATATATATATATATATATCTCAATATCAAAATTCAGTTAGAACGAAATTACACACGTGTGTGTGTATATATATATATATATATATATATATATATATATATATATATAAAAAAAATTCTCATTTTTAATGTATTTATTTTATATTATAATTATATATATATATCATTCTACGCTTATTTTGATATTATATTAATATTAAATTACACTTAGTGTATGTGTATGTATTTGTAAGTGTATATAATATATATGATCAAAGTATATATTTAATTTTAAACTGTTTTAAAACTTTATTTCATTTTATTACAGGCAGCAGGCACTCCATCCGCTGGCACTACTATGGACGGCTATTCCGTCCATGTGATCGTGAGGTCCTTGCAAGCAGGGGGACTGGCTGGGATGCAAGACAAGTTCCCCCATCTCGATTGCCGGCATGGGATTGCCGGTGAGCAGGTGAGTACATAGGACGGCGTAGACGTACTATGCCGCCCGCCAGCATTTAGCGTTTTGTCTCCAAGGATGGCATCTACCTGCATGTATAGCAATATATTACTGCAAATTCATCACACCATATTGTGTAATGTGTTTCAGAGACTCATCCACATGTCTGCCTGTCTCGCTATCATATCTCTATCTATCTCAGATACACTCACTTCAGCTACTTTGATCTAAACTTTTAAATTTACTTTGAATTCACTTTGATTTCTCACTTTAGTGAACAATCATGTAATAGATAATGAACAAAAACAGGGATAAATCTACAATACAATAATAACAGAAAAAAACATAGCATAATACTGTTGATTGTGAAAGGGGAGTGGAAATATAGATGATAATTCGCACTCACAAACCAAAATTGATTGTAGGCATATCTTATAAAACGATGAGTATCTCAGGATAAGTGGAACGTCAAGATGTACATAGAAGGAAATAAAAAAGCATAATAGTGCAGAGTATCTTGGTAAGAAAATACACTTTAATGATAAGGCACACTTACAATGTTGTAGTGGCAAACAGGCATATAAAAACCACCAGTCTCAGGATCATAAGATGAATCACAGGATCAGCAAGATCAACATAACCAGCAGATCAAATAAAATAAAATGAAATAAAACAACCTGATTGTAAAAAACTCTAAACACTATATATACTATAAATAAGCCCTACGCGTTTCGTTCAAACGTCCTTGAACTTCCTCAGGGGCAAAAAGTCCTTCTATGTGTAGGTATAGCTGTCCACATGGTATACCTGGCTTTTAAATCCGTCCGGTTTGGCGCGCCGAAAAGCTCCTCCAATTATCCACTTACTTCCGGGTTCGTCCGTCTGTAATACTTCCGGGTGCGACCTGCTGACGCAACCGGAAATGCGGCTCACATCTCTCTTCCGGATCTCTATCTATGCGTTCCACCTGATATGCGTTCCACCACTCAAAGAGCGAGAATAGCCACAATTGATGAGAAAGAAATTTAAAAACATATATATACACATATAATGTTGGTTATAATTATAATCTCAAAAACAAAAGTGTCATCCAGATAATATAAATCCTTGCCAATATCCTTTTTAATAAAAAGTATAGAATATAGCATGACAGATTATTATTTCATTCCCAAAAGATACATAAAATTAATTAAACAGCATTACTAAAACAAATGTTTGTTAATATTGAAACTATATACAAGAAAAGTGTACAAGTGCAAAAATGTCAATTTAGAGAAAGCAAATCAAAATCAACATTGAGTCCCCTAAGTTGCATTGTTTGTAAAGTATGTATCCAATATCCCTCTCTTTTTCTCAATAGTAACATTAGATCACCTCCTCTTTCATCCAGGGCTACTTGTTCAATGATGGTACATTGGAGGGTATTGAAGTTAAAAGCTGGACATTTATTACAGTGTACTGGCACTGAATGTGTCAACATATGATTTTTAATATTATTTCTATGCTCCTGGAACCTAACTTTTGCTTTTCTTCCCGTTCTTCCCACATATTGCAACCCACATCCACATGTGAGTAGGTATACGACATGTGTTGAAGAACAGGATAAAGTGCTTTTGATTTTGAACCTTCTTCCATTAACCATACTCACAAAACTCGTAATATTGTTGTATTTGTAATTACAACTAACACAACTCCCGCATGTGTAGTAACCTTCTTTACGTTTTATTTTGCTCTTTCTAGATCTAAAAGTGCTTGGTGATAAAATTTGCTTTATATTACACTTAGTGTATGTGTATGTATTTGTAAGTGTATATAATATATATGATCAAAGTATATATTATTTAATTTTAAACTGTTTTAAAACTTTATTTCATTTTATTACAGGCAGCAGGCACTCCATCCGCTGGCACTGCTATGGACGGCTATTCCGTCCATGTGATCGTGAGGTCCTTGCAAGCAGGGGGACTGGCTGGGATGCAAGACAAGTCCCCCCATCTCGATCGCCGGCATGGGATTGCCGGTGAGCAGGTGAGTACATAGAACGGCGTAGACGTACTATGCCGCCCGCCAGCATTTAGCGTTTTGTCTCCAAGGATGGCATCTACCTGCATGTATAGCAATATATTACTGCAAATTCATCACACCATATTGTGTAATGTGTTTCAGAGACTCATCCACATGTCTGCCTGTCTCGCTATCATATCTCTATCTATCTATCTCAGATACACTCACTTCAGCTACTTTGATCTAAACTTTTAAATTTACTTTGAATTCACTTTGATTTCTCACTTTAGTGAGCAATCATGTAATAGATAATAACTTCTAGATTGAAAATGTTGCACAGTAAAGGAATCTGAAAAATTCAGATTCTTTTTTCGAAAGTGTGGTTGAATGCTCTAAAAGTCATAGTTAGGGGAGTTATGGCTAGGACAGCATAAACAAAGTTATTTATCTTCTAAATGGCAGAGAATTGAGCAGTAAGACTGCACAGGCACGATCTATACATTAAAACTGCTTTATTAAACTAAAGTTGTTTTGGTGCTTAGTATTGCTTTAACTCCTTAAGGACACGTGACATGTGTGACATGTCATGATTCCCTTTTATCCCAGAAATTTGGTCCTTAAGGGATTAAAGGGACACTACAGGCACCCAGACCATTTTATCTAATTGAAGTGGTCTGGGTGCAGTGTCCCTGTCCCCTTAACCCTGCAGGTGAAAATAGTTTCAGAAAAAACTGCAAAGTTTATATTGCATGGTTAAGATTACCTCTAGTGGCACTTCCTGGCATTTCACAAAGTTTTGAAAATCCTCATAGGAAAGCATTGAGTTTATATTTTCCTATGAGGAAGGCCTAATGTGTTGGAGGTGCTCACTATGCATGCACATTAGGTTCCAACCATCGCTGACGTTGGAAATTCATAGAGCGATCCAGCACCAAGAGACCTCAGCGCTGGAAACAGATAAGAGAAAGCAAGGTTTTTTTTAAGGCAGGTGGAGTGGGTGGAGATAGAGGGACACCATTGTGTTAGGAATATAGTTTTGTATTCCTAACACTATACACTTCTTAAAACATAAGTTATATGTGATTTTAATGTGTGGTTCAGAAAAATGCCAGTTCTCAGAGCAAGCTCTATATCAATGAGACCTGAACAGTAGACACAATTGTCTTGAATAGCTTTCTTGGATCATAATGAGTCAAATCCATGCTTTGTCTCAGAGGCTGTGTTCAAAGAAGGATGTATTCTTTATCAACAAATTACAAAACTGATTTTTTTTTTTTTAAATTCTACCTAACACAGAAAGAAGAAAAATTATTATTAAAAGGACCACTATAGTGCCAGGAAAACACTCATTTTCCTGGCACTATAGTGCCCTGAGGGTGCCCCCACCCTCAGGGACCCCCTCCCGCCCGGCTCTGGAAGGGAGAAAGGGGTTTAAACTTACCTTTTTCCAGCGCTGGGCGGAGAGCTCTCCTCCTCCTCTCCGCCTCCGATCCGCCCCGCCGGCTGAATGCGCACGCGCGGCAAGAGCTGCGCGCGCATTCAGCCCGTCGCATAGGAAAGCATTTACAATGCTTTCCTATGGACGCTGGCGTGCTCTCACTGTGAAAAATCACAGTGAGAAGCACGCAAGCGCCTCTAGTGGCTGTCAATGAGACAGCCACTAGAGGCTTTGGGGGAAGGCTTAACCCATTAATAAACATAGCAGTTTCTCTGAAACTGCTATGTTTATTAAAAAATGGGTTAACCCTAGAAGGACCTGGCACCCAGACCACTTCATTAAGCTGAAGTGGTCTGGGTGCCTAGAGTGGTCCTTTAAATAATTTGCCTGTTATAATAATTTTAAAGGTTTTCTGAAACCATGGATAGAATAAAGCATAGATGATGGGGTTAAGAGAAGAATTAAAATAACCAAGCCACAAAACTGCATTATACAAATCATCCGATGTTGTGAAATCAAGGTAAGGATCTACTACAGTGACAATAGAAAATGGAAGCCAACATAATAAAAATGCCCCCATAACTAAGCTTAAAGTCTTTGCTGCTTTGCTTTCAACCTTTAGAGATGCCTTGTTGGTGTTTGGACCCGGGTAATTTGGGCGACTGTGTAGCATCCTTGCCTGTTTTTGTGCTATAGAAAATATATGGATATAGACTCCTATCATCATGGTACCTGGAACAAAAAAACAAAATAATGAAGAAACTGTTGCCCAAAGCTTATTCAGTATAAGAAAACAAGACCCAATGCAGGTGCGTGACTCCACAAAATGATTTAATCCTTCCATGTGCACATTTGATACAATAAGACTAACTGAATATAAAAAAGGAACCGACCAGCTAACAAATAAATAAACTTCTATCATACGGTTTGTCATCTTTGAATAATAATGAAGCGGTTGACACACAGCATAGTAACGATCAACAGAAATAAAAACTAGATGAAGTATGGAAGTCGTGCAGAAAGTCATGTCTAAGCAACTGTGTAGTTTACAGAATAAGTCTCCAAAATACCAGCAAGATGTCGCTGATCGGACCATACTATAAGGCATTATTACCAGTCCAAGAAGAAAATCTGTTATTGCCAAGGATAGAATTAAAAAGTTAGTTGGACTGTGAAGCTGTTTAAAATGAGAAACTGAAATGATCACCATTAGATTTCCCACAATGGTGATTGTTATAATCACAGACATGATAATGCACATAGCTGAAAATCTTGATGGGGTAACGTTGGTCTTAGGACAGGAGTTGCTCAAGTCAAAACAATAAATTGAATTTAGCTGATTCCAGGAAACAGATGAGTTCATAACTCTTACAATGAATTTCCAGTTCAGTCACTGAAACAAGACACGAAAAATATATTTAAATATTAGCAAAGTTGCCTAAAGAGTTTTAATTAAAAAGGGCTTAAATTGTGGGAATAGGCTTTATGTTGTATGGTCAATTAATTATATCTCAGGCAAAACTGATATTTTTTGCAATTTTAGATTTTGTTAAAAATATCAATGCAAAAATATATACTGTGCTAAGAGTAAATTCTAAATATGAAGCAATGAGTAGTAATATACTCTATCAGATCTTTGCCCTAACATCAATATTACATAACCACTGTTTACATAATGCCTGTACACCGCTTAGCATCTACAGAATATTTGATACATATGTGGAATATTACTATCGTCCATGCTATTCCTGGTTCCATATTTAGTTCTTTCAAATAGATGTTATTATAAATTATAAATAGTTCAATATGAAGAGATTTTTAATTTTTTCTGAATTGAATAGTAGTCAAGTAACTTTTAATAATTCTAAAATTGCTTTGGTCAAGCAAAAACATTATGTGGCTTTTTATTTTTTTTTATCAAAAATATTTAATATATGTCCAAGGTCCATCCACAAATCCGATGTTAGGAGACACTTTTCTAGTCATATTTATTTTTATGTTAGAAGGTCGTTTTCCTGTTGAGAAATCCTGCCACTATCAAACAGATTTGAAACTTCATATTGTTTTACAAGCTCACTACAACTCACTGTTAGATGTATGTATCGCTAAATAAATGGTGTAATAGTTCTGCTTACCCTGTAAATACTTTAAAACATTAATTTTGTGTTATAAAACGTTGTTTATTGCTAGACAATGAATTGTGATTAACTAACAGTTGAGATTAATAAATGTTTAAGAAAAACTTAAGTAGGAAATATTTTCCTTATGTTATTTGATTTTTTTTCAAGTCTAAATCAGACAAATCAAAGGCATCCTATTTAAGTTATAAGGAAGCCAATAACGCTTGCAAAAAGGCAATTAAAGTGGTTAAACTAGAAAATGAGAAATTGATAGCTAAAGAATGCAAAACCAACCCCAAAATTTTTTTTCAAGTACATCAATTCTAAAAAAAACAAAAAATGAAAGTGTAGGTACACTTGAAACAGAGTTGGGTTTATTAGCTAATGAAGACCAGGAAAAAGCAGAAATTTTAAATAACTATTTCTCTTCAGTATATACTAATGAGGGTCCTATGGCAAGAGATATGCAAATGATTGCTGCAAAAAACTTGCAAATAACTTGTGATTGGATAACTCGAGACAAGGTGCTACAGCTATTAAAGAAAATTAATGTAAATAAAGCTCCGGGGCCTGACGGTATTCACCCATGAGTACTTAAGTTGCTAAGTGGGGAAATAAGTGAACCTCTGTATTTAATTTTTCAAGATTCTTTTGTTTCAGGTGTTGTACCGGAGGATTGGAGGAAAGCAGATGTTGTTCCTATGTTTAAAAAGGGTTCAAAATCCTTGCCTGGAAATTATAGACCTGTGAGCTTAACTTCTGTAACTGGGAAAATATTTGAAGGGCTATTAAGGGATAATATTCAGGAATTCATTGGGAAGAACTTTGTTATTAGCAATAATCAGCATGGTTTTATGAAACATAGGTCATGTCAAACTAACCTAATTGCATTCTACGAAGAAGTAAGTAGAAGTATAGATCAGGGTGTTGCAGTGGATGTGATCTACTTGGATTTTGCCAAGGCATTTGACACGGTTCCTCACAATAGGTTAGTCTTCAAACTAAAAGAAATTGGTCTAGATGAATATTCTTGTTCTTGGGTAGAGTATTCAATCACCAATCAAAAACTGTTATTAGAATATTTCCGCAAACAATTAAAGATTAATACATGTATCATTTCTAAATAAAGTTAGCAGAATAAAGAAAAATACAAATTTTTTAAGAGATAGATAGACAGACAGAGAGAGCCAGACAGATCGGTCGGTCGATCGATAGATAGATAGAGATTTAGCTGTAATTTTCTATTCAGATTTATTTTGCTATAATTTGGTGTTTAGTGAACAAGCCACATAGTAATTAAAATGGAATTGATAAGGAAGTAGTGTTAGTATTTCTTAAAATTCAATATCATTAGTACATAATGATTTGCATATGGAGAATAAAATAATAAAACATTTACCTGATTTCAGAATTCTTTGATTCACAGCTTTTACTGTCTTGTTATGGGATTTCTCAAACCATCCAATATAGGTTAATGCAGCTCAAGCTTCTTCCTATGTAGTAATGGGAATGTTGTATCCCTTTGGAAAATGAGCGAGATTTTATACACAAAAATGTCCCCAGAAGATTGCAAGTTTCCTCCAGGGAAAATACTAAGAGAAAATTCAGGCATTACAATAATTATCCGTTCATGTGTAGCGCAGATGTTTATTAGGGTCATGATAAAAGGAACAATCTAGTAAACTCAAATTGCAATAGGGTGTATTAACTAAACAGTGAAATAGTATAAAGACAGCGGATTTTGTTTTAAATGGTTTTTATTTTGGAGTGTAGCATAGAGTCAAGTACAGTACATTTATGACAATTGAAATGTGTTTGCCTATGCAGAGGCTTAGCTCAGTTGTGGAAAAGCGTTGTTCAACAGTAGGATGTCAAATGCAACAAGTCAAATCGACGGTTCCAATATAGCGGTAACAAAGTGAACTCTTTACAGTTAACGGTTATAAATTGGCTGGTAATAATGCTGTAAAGATTTGTATTATAAGCTCCCTGAGCAACGGTTAGGCGAGAGCATGTGTCCGCTCAACCCCGCCAAGTGGGCTACAATAGCAAGTTCAGGTATATGCTTTAAGGTACATTCACATGCATGAGACTCATATAAGTACGTATGATATAAACAAAATGAAAATGTTAATGAAAAAATTTTGTTCGCTCTAGAAAGCAAAATCATATCAATATATAGTTATGTTAAGCTTATCTGTGATAAGTCTTAGCTACTAGCATTATAACAGTGCCTAATAAGACTTAAGGTAAGTAGGCTAGAAAAATCAATATATAACAAATGAAAGGTTAAAACAATAAGGGAGCCATGCCAGTCTTATTAGCCGTTCGGGGGAGGCCACCTCTGGCTTAGCCGCAGTAAATCCCCTGGGTCACCAAGTCTCCATCTGTCTTACCCAGACCGACCCCCAGCTCACCAGCTGGGTCCTCTGCGGCACTGTGGGCACTCAGGAGCAGAAACTGTCCACTGGACCTGCCCACCTAGAATCCACGGGCCATTCGCCCCCTGCACCTCCCCGGCATCACTTAAGTCCCAGTGAAGCGCGTGCCCCCCTGTCTCTCCTGGTGCCGGCCACATACTTGGGACTGGTGCACACCACTCACGGCCAGAAGGACTACGCAAACCCACCCCACGTGGCTCATGGTGTCAGGGACAAGGCTCTCCGGGGACCCCTTAAACCCAAAGGCCAGGGCACTCACTTCTCCAGCGGGCAGGCAAACAGTGTGGAGGATCCATCCGGCGCTCGGCAGTGCCCAAATCTGCACAGGACATCCAGATCAGAGTATTTTTCACAGCTGCTCCACCTCCGATTATTCAAGTGTATAGTTAGGCGTTTCGAAAGCGGGGGTGAGGGTAAAGTATCCCTTCTGATTAAGTCCTCTGTCTTATCCGTTGGTGCCTGCGTTACTGTTGCAGTTAGGCTTGTGATAAATATCGGACCAGAAACATGGGCAGTAAATGTCTTCTTATTCTTATGGTAGCTTTTAGGCCGGCCACATTTTGGCAGCCTTTGCCTGTACTGGTGATCTACGTGGTTTCCATGCGGGGACTCCCGCCCTGGAGTGTGCCGTCTCCACAAGGCCGAGATTACCCTCACTGGCTGGGGGGGGAGTGGAGCGGGGCCGCCGCTTATGCCAGTGTGGTCCTAAATGAAAGCTAAGGTATCCGGTGTGCTTTCTCCCCGGTCAGGCAACCGATAGCCCACTCAGCTCACACAGAGGTCGCCTATGTCCAGGCTTACGATGGCGAGTATGCCGGGTTGATCAGTTATGGTGCTCCCGGTTCATATATGGTCTCTATCTGGAACCAATTTGAAGCTTGATTCTCCATAATGTTATGTTAAGTAATCCGGCTTTGGGGCAGTCTGCATATGCATTTAATGCTGTTTTCCGGGGCTCAGGCCCGGAGTCATGATGCACTGCTTCCATTCAGCTTGGCGGCCCGGCCCTGCCCCCCGACAGTTGATTTTGCATATAAAGGAAAATTTGCTTCATACTTACCGTAATTTTCTTTTTCTGATCATTATTCATGGCAGCATTTACTCATGGGTTAGCTCCTCCCCTTACAGCAGAAAGGACAGGAAATAGAACTCTGAAACTGGTATAAATAGATCCTCCCCCTTCCCATCAGGCAGTCTTAGTAACTAGCTTCACATCTTATAGTATATGGGTGGGAACGTAATGCTGCCATGAATAATGATCAGAAAAAGAAAATTACGGTAAGTATGAAGCAAATTTTCCTTTTTTCCTGACATTATTCATGGCAGCATTTACTCATGGGGAATACCCAAGCAGTATATATCGAGGGAGGGACAGAGTTCAAAAACAGCCAATAGCTATAAAACCATTATTGAGCTGCATAAACCTTAGAAGACTCTAAAAAAGCCAAACAAGACATCAATAGGATGTTGTCATACATTCTGCTCAGACAAGTTAATTAACCTAGAGGCTGCAAGGTCAGCAACCTCCTGGCATTCAATATCTGAAATATCCTAAATAAATATAGTCAGATAGGAATTAAGGCCATGATAGCATAAGTTAGAGAAGGATAATGCCATTTTGATATAAAATTTAAAACCAAATTGATGACCTCATCAGATCAGAACCTTGACAAAAAGGCATAACAGAAGGTTGGATGAGAACAGACACACCATGCTATTAAACATGGCGAGAATTACACTGAGAATCCTACAACTCTCTGGATGTAATTATTAATGACGATTCACACTGTTTCCTCTTGCCTTGTGAACTACTTACCTGTGGATACAAGGAAATAAATCAATACCTGCCTGTCAGAAAGAGGCAGAGCCTAGTAGAGAAATAAGTGTTATTAAAACACTGCAATAATGAATATATATACACATATATATTGCAAAAATCAGACTCACAACAAAACCTCACACCGTGGATGAATTGATACAGTAATACTCAGGCACAGGAGAGGTATAAACCAATGACATTACTAGGCAAGGGCAAGAGGAGTCATATACAGATTAGTTAAAGAAAGAAAAAAAGAGACATCGTATGAACCGTAGAATTTGTGGAAACTCTTAAATTATAAGTAGGACAATCACGTCAGTACCTACATTCAAAGAAACATTGTAAATAGTACAGATTATACCAAACAGTATAATCAAATTTATTAGAGACCGTTGTGTAACATAAGTAGGAGATATGTAATCGGCAGGATACTGATGAGAAGGTGGTAACCAGAGGCACATGATCCATTGTGGCAACCGACACATAATAAGCAGGATAGTAGAAGATATTCAGTTATCCTTATGAGAACAAACAACCACATACTTACTCTTACCTTATCTTCAGATAGCGAAGTACTACTATGGCAGAGCTTATGGTGATAATAAGCAGTTTGTATTATTCTTACCATATCTTCAGATAGCGAAGAAGTACTATGGCAGAGCTTATGGCGAAAATAAGCAGTTTGTATTATCTGCAAGATATCAACACCAATACAAGTATATAATCCATAAGTATTAAATCAATGCAATGTTAGGAGTGACCATAACTTATACCGATCTAGGTACAGAGACCATGAAAAATATATCAGTCAAATGTTTGTCATCAACAAGCTGCATTACATTATATTATGTAGGATGAATCAACCACTTAAAGCCACACCTTGGTTGCAAATTCCAGATATAAAGGACCACTAGAAGAATCCCCATGAATATCAGAAGAGAGGACCGTAATGGAGTTACCTGTTAAGGGATTTCCTCTCTTGTTCTGATAGCTGGTGAATTTTACTTGAAATAGTAAACCTGGTAGAGTGGCCTGGGGACTAGAAAGACCTTCCAGTGTCAATTAAAATACTTGCAATACTAAGTATCGAAAACTTACCTGGATCGTATGAGCATAAAAGAATACATTTAATTGCAGAAAGGAAATTATAATATTCCCTTTCACCACAAGGGAATCTTGTCAGAAATTTCTGAACATTAATTCCTTAAGAACCAAAAGCATGCTACCCCTGACATATCCTAAAGGGATTGCCAAACGCAGGTCCCCAAGGGATAAAAGAATACTGCATATAAAAAAAAATTATTACATTCTCCAAATTATAAAGATTATGCTTTAAGGAAAGGTACACAGTTCTAAAGAATGTTAAACCAATTCCAGAGAACGGAGTTAAAAACTTAATAAAAAGCACAAACCAGACCAGAAGTAGTGAATTCTTCAGAGTAGAAGTTTGCAGAAAAATAAAATGATACTAAAGTTAAGACCAGGAGAGAAACAAGCCAATATGAACAGCTTTTTAAATCAGGTAATAGCTTCAGTTACCTACTTATGAGAACGATTAATAGCCCAATTTGTGCTCCTGCAACCAGCATGATCTACTAAGCTGTGCATCAGTAACAGCATATATCTGAAGACAAAAACACTGCCACCAAAACATTCCCTATCTTGATAAGAGAGGAGAGGATACTTGGCAATAGAAAAACTTCTCAGAAATGGTCTCATGTATAAATACATAGGAGTGCACACAAAAAGGCCTTAATTTTGTTAAACAGTACCATGCTCCATTTTGGAAATTCAGGTCTCCTTCTCTCCTGGGAGAGGCACTCAGACAGGTTCAGTAACACCTGCAATCCATCTGAAGTGGTAAAATGTGTTAATTGCTTATCCCGAAACACCTGTGGGAGAAGGAATCTAATACAAAGCCAAAAGCAGTATGTTTCCTTATCCACTTCATTTAAAAAAAAAAAAACTGAAATAGAAAATCCACAGGAGGCAATAATTACTTACCCAGTATAACAGTGCATTTGTATTTGCTAAAATTAGGCAGTGCTACATTTCAGCGCAAAACCCAGACCTTAGATCATTTGTATATATTAAATCTATCAATGCCGTGTATAAATTAGGGTTATCTAATACTACCAACCTGCATACAGATTATGTGAATCACATACATTGTAGATGTTTCTAACAGCACCTAATACACAGATATATCAGTTACATATACTGAGTCTGTTCAAATAGTAATAGCCTACCTCTGCTATATACAGTGACACTATGCCTGTACACATATTAAGCTTATATGAGTGAGATAAATTGAGGCTGTTTTCAACAGAACTTCATGTACATATTACACCACTCATATATACTGAGGTTGTGACTAATAACCCACACAAAAAAACCTGTATTAGATTGGACTCATAGAGGATGTGTCTTATATCATTCACATATATTGTGTTTCCACTAATACATCAAGCATATAGTGAACAGATCCACTGAAGCAATGTCCACACCAACTTACATATAGAGCATGTTGAGACATATACTGAGGCTGTGTTTTCAGAGCAAATAAAGAACACAAACTGAGCCGAGACTTCCGATCATCTCATACGTAGACAATATACTGGATACATATACTGAGGCTGTGTCCCCATAGTAACTCATACATAGAGCATATAGTGGGTACATATACTGAGGCTGTGTCCTCATAGTAACTCATACACAGAGCATAAAGCGCATACATAAACTGAGGCTGTGTCTCCATAGTAACTCATACATATGGCCTATAGTGGACACATATACTGAGGCCATGTCCTCATAGTAATTCATACACAGAGCATATAGTGCATACATAAACGGAGGCTGTGTCTCCATAGTAACTCATACATATATCATATAGTGGATACCTATACTGAGGCTGTGTCCTCACAGTAACTCACACACAGAGCATATAGTGCATACATAAACTGAGGCAGCGTCCTCATTGTAACTCATACATAGAGCCTATAATGGATACATATACTGAGGCTGTCTCCATAGAAACTCATACATAGAGCATATAGTGGACACATATACTGAGGCTGTGTCTCAATAGAAACGCATACATACATATTATATATGATACTTATACTGAGGTGGTGTACTCACAGTAACTCTTATATAGACCACATAGCGGATACATATACTGAGGCCGTATCCTCCTAGTAACTCCTACATAGAGCATATAGTGGATACATATACTGAGGCTGTGTCCTTATAGTAACGCATACCTAGAGCATTTACTGGACACAATCTGTTCATATGTTAGAGCATAAAGTGAAAACACACCGATGCTGTACCACCACCAGATCATGTATGGATACTGAGGCCCCGTGGTCTCATATGCAGTATATTCCTCCACTCTCTGGAAAAACCTGCTTATTTGCGATAATGCACAGATAACAGCAATCAATGCCACATATCTTGATAGGGACAAGTGTGTGTGTGGACTTTAAAATCATATAAATGTGAGTACTTCAGTCACCCAGGGAAGTTCTCTTACCTTGGATATTTCTTCAGGACTGTGAAATTCCAGCAGACTTTATACAGCCAGGATATCCATTATTAGCACTCTTTTTCACAATGCCTTATTGCATCATAAGCACTCTTTTGCACAATGCCTCCTTGCATTATCAGCACTCTTTTGCACCAAGCATCCTTTCATGTATAACTTACCTAAATGCTCACCACACAAACCTCCTAAATGTGACCTATTTGTTAGAAGGAAGCCTAATGTAAGCCACTGGGAGGGACTGAAAGAACAGAGACCCAGCTGCCTATACTAGTTTTAATCTAATTACTAATGCACTTACCTGAACTGCTGCAGGCCTGTGTTTCAATGGCAAAATGGGGATTTGAACAACTGACAGCCTAAACTGTTTAAACTATAGGCTTCCATCTGTACCCCATATGCAGTCCATCATCACCAGTGGGAGGAGGTTTAACCAACCAACCAAAGGTGGAACACCAAGAATAGGTATATCCAGGTAGTCACCTTATGGAAGTGCTGTTTACTGGGTCTTCAAGGATAAAGGCTTAGACTCGGCTGGGCCTCATGTATGCAGTGGACCGCTGTCATCCCCTCAGGGAGAGAGATAGGTCAGACTCCTGATTGCTGAAGGAGGTACCCAGGCTGGCACCTGTTACAGATGTGCTGTTTGCTGGGTCTTCAGGGATAAGAGGCTAAACCCTGGCCTGGCTTCATGTAGGCAATATATCACATTCATCCCCTGAGTGGGTACCCAAGCTGGGCTGTTTGCTGGGTCTTCATGGATAAGAGGCTGAACCCAGGCCTGGCTTCCTGTAGGCAGCATATCACATTCATCCCCTGAGGGGGTACCCAAGATGGCCTATTGCTGGGTCTTCAGGGATAAGAGGCTGAACCCTGGCATGCAGTGGACCATTTTCATCCCTTAAGGGAGAGGTTGGGTCGGACCCCCGGTCACTAAAGGGGGTACCCAGGTTTGCAGTATTAACAATAGTGCGTTGCTGGGTCTTCAGGGCTTAAAGGCTGAACCCCGGCATGGCTACAAAAATATTGCCTGGTGAGCATAAAAGAAAATCTAGGCCTGCATAAGCAGACTCCTTCCAAACTGCTGTGAAGGACAGGAAAAAAGACTGCCTGATGGGAAGGGGGAGGATCTATTTATACCAGTTTCAGAGTTCTATTTCCTGTCCTTTCTGCTGTGAGGGGAGGAGCTAACCCATGAGTAAATGCTGCCATGAATAAATGCTGCCATGAATAAATGCTGCCATGAATAATGTCAGGAAAATATTATTACCAAGCTAGTTCTGGAAACTAATAAAAAAAAAAAAAATTGAAACCTCATATACTGGTATGGCATTTTTCTCTCTCTCTGTTTTGCATGTTCAAGAAAAATGTAAAAAAGATCTAGTGTTATCTGGAAAAAACACATTCTAAAAATATTACGTAGGGTATACATGAGAGATGTTAGAGTCAGGGGGACAGTTGTGGGAGGCAGTGTCAGGAACACCAAGTGGTCAGCGTCATCTATGTTTGGTGCCTGTGTAATGCCAGCATATACAAATTACTTTAAAGGGAGAGATGAGTGGCCAATGAGACTGAAGATGGGGAGATAACCTGAGGAAGGCTACCTGCTTCTTCAGTTGTGGGGACATTTGTGAGTGTAAGGAAACCTAGGATATCCAATCCTCATTCGGTAGTTTCCTCCCGAACCGCCAGAGGCTCAGTGATTATAGCTCTCCGTTCGGTAGATGAAATAAGCAAAATCCATACAAATACAATAGCTTTAGAAGATGATTCCCTTAATAAAGCATACGAATCCCCAAACATCAGCCGAAGTCTAGAAGAAGGGTGCAACAGAGCTCGCTTTTAATGACCACCTACTGGCTTTTATGCAAGTCCCCATGCAAGGGGACATCCCACAGGGAGGGACACAGTGCAACCAATCATTTACAGGAAAAACGTAAAACACTCCCAGCACAAACATACAATTCCCTCCCCTAGTCCTGGAGATAATCAAGTCTGATAAAGTAATAACTTTATTATCTCCAGGCAGAAAAATTAAAATTATCCCCAATATTCAGGACACCTCTTTAGGCATATGGTATCCCCACAAACAATATATCCCCTGATAGCCCCGATCTGGGTGACCAACATATTCAAATTTCACCAAGATCAGTTCAGGGGTTCTCAAAAAATATGGAAGTCTTTTGTGACCGGCTAACCGCGAAGTGGCCGCCCAAAATAGTTCCATGAGTTTGGGTAGTTTTGCCGGTCTATTTCGTTAAGTGGCAAAAAACGAATAATTCCACCAATGGTTTCCTCTGGCTCTTAGCAGCGATTGTTCCCCTCATTCGAATGAACAAAAGTACCAAACAATGCTCTTCTAGCTGTTCGGGAAATATAGATCCAGCGTTCGCTTGTTGAGACCGGTGTTCGGGAAGTCGAGTGTCCAATTTTAGTTCCAGACACTCGACGACCAAGTCCCGCTGCCTTTGTTCACATAAAAAAAGATGGCTGCCGTTTTCTCAGCCACATGGCGTTCGGTAGTACGAACGCCGGCCGCACAGGTAGAGGGTTCAATTGAGGCATTCTTTGAAGTTTAACGAGCCAGGGGGATGGTCTATGTTCGGTAGTTACATCTACCGAATGAATAGGGAAGAAATATTAAACATAAAAGAGGGATTTCTTCACAGTGAGCACTAGGGATTCAGAATGTTCTCTATCAGCAGTTGGAGGCAAATGAGGTTCACAGTGGTAAGCTATAATGAATTCAGATGCACTACTCTCTAACTGCCTACTTGCTGCTTTACTTAATTCCACCAAACCGTAACTTTCTTCCACTAAAACACAGAAGGTGTGGCGAAAGTAATCACGACACTGGTTTTTGGAGGGGCCTGTGTGGCGGGACACCGCCACTAAGTGCCATGCCCACTGAGGATTCAGATGTTTGATTTTGGATTTTGTGTCCCCAATGTGTAGTGTTATGATTTTCGCTTATTGAATATGTGTTTCCCCTTGTATTTTTGCAATGTACGGTGCATTTTACTTTACAGTCACATGGGCGCTCCAGCGCACGGAGCATCGTGTGCCGGAACACCCCGATATTCCATTTAGACTGTATGGTTAGAATGTTCACACCTCGCTAATGAGGTGTGAAAACCACAGACTGCAAGGAAACAAGCGGCGCGTGCTTCCCCTGGGTGGCTGCCGGTTCCTATAGCCAAACGTCGCAAAGGGGCAGCATTCGTATCCCGAACTGTCCTGCGCACCCTGTCTTTGGTCTCCGTGTCAGGGACCGTCCTACCTGCTCTAAAAGGAGCTGTAATCATTAATCCCTTGCCCCTGCTGGGAGCTACGAGTCAAGGTTTGTGGCTGCCCAGGAGAGTGCTCTCTCCGTTGGATACCTGCGTGGGGAGGTCCACTGGAGAGAGGGACGCGCGCCACCGGGGAATCTCTGGGGCTGTTAGTCGCTCTCACGGCCATGTAAGTTTTAACCCTGTAACTTATCTAGCCGTGTAAGTTTTAACCCTGTAACCCCTTCCCTCCCAGGGGCGCCGAGCCCCAAAGTGTAACCCCCCTGAATGTAATGTAGTTTAAAGTGTACTGTTTGGTATCTCCCAGGGCGGGGGATGGCTATCTTTAACCCAACCCCCTCCTGCCTGGGGCTAAGGGAAGTGTATTATGTGGAAAGGAGACCCCCTGCGGGGGTCTGTGGATAAAAGAAGCCTGTGTTGAATAAAGATTGGAAATCAGCCTGTTGAGAGTCCAGTGCTTAAACCTCCAAAACTGTGTGTTGTCCTGTTATTATCCACAAACAGCTACATTCGGTATTTCAAACTGTACTTCAAATCCCCGAAGTAGACCGACCGCACAGCCTAAATCTCTGGAATTGTTTTGGGCATGGGACCGGTCGGTCAGAATATGACTTCCATAGAATTATTGAACCCCTAAACTGATCTGGGTAATTTTTGGATATGTTGGTCACCTAGATCAGGGCTATCATGGGATGTAACAATTGTGGGGGTATCATGTGTTTTGGGGGTACTTTTGGGGTTTTGTAAAATATGGTTTTTTTCTGATACATTGATACAGTATCTGACTCAATTATCTCCCAGGCAAAGGGGAGGGATTGTATGTTTGTTATGGGAGTGTCATGCATTTAATCACTGTTCTTATTGGTCTGTGTCTTTGTGTTGGAGTCCCCAACAAGGTCCATGTGGGCGTACCCCTTGCATGGGGATTGTCATAAAAGGCCAGTGTGGCACCATTAAAATTGAGTTCCTGCTTACCCTCAACACAGAGCCTCTTCTTGTGATTTAGGGAACCGCTATAGCTGCTATAATCCCTGCTCTTGGGATTGCTCT